AGTTCTTTATCTGAGGCTCGACTGCCACTCCAACAAACAGCAAACACTGGCTCATACTAACTGAGCGAGGGAGCCACATTTCTGCTATTATGTCCCACTATGTTTATTTAGTAAGAGCAGGAAGTGTCTGGCGGCAGAGGGAGTGGGATGAGGGCGGAGGAGAGAGGGGTTACAGCGATTAGCAGCTTTGTGTTGGGGAAAATAGAGCGTTATGGAGACGGGGGCTTACTGCGGAGCTAATAGCTTCACTCTGTGCCAATTTGCTCCGTTTCAGCAGCTCTTAGCATCTCTGCTCCGAGGTTTACTGTCAGAGAATCTCATCGCTGCAACAACAGACACATTACTGCAGCTTATCTTTGAACAACCAGTATTTTACATGACTGACAGGTGTCATGAGACTTCTAAATCGAGCACAACTAAATCATGAAACCCTCCCCTCCCCCGTTAGCGTTCACTCGCTCCCTACAGAAGTGTTTCTGTGGAGCATCAGTGTCAATCACAAACTGTAATCTATATGTAAGTCGTCCTGAAAAACAAACACAGCGCTGCCATTCCTGCGTGTCAATCAAAGCGTCCCTATCTCCGCTACCATCAGCCGTGCAACCTGTCAAAGCGTCACAAAACTCGCTCAGGAGGTTTTTTTCCAAACATTTGCATGACCTCCAACTTTTGCACCGAGTCATGTTGAGTGCAGAAACGTCCCTCGGGGGTTTGGCTGTCACTCAGATGACGGGAATGTACGATCTTTTACAGGGTCGGTTTGCTGCGAGCCTGGACAAGCGAGGCCTGATGTGTCCAACAGATTCTTCTTCAAGGTCCTGCGAGGATTAGCTATCTGGCCTTTCATGGGTTGTTAGTTTTGAGCCGCTGTTCGGAGGTTCAGGGACGACACAGATCTCTCCAGCATGACGTTTGGAGATGACAGGGATAATAAAGCCCTCACACACACGCACGCACGCACGCACGCACGCACGCACGCACACACACACACACACTTTCTCTACAACAATCTGAGCTCCTGCACCAATCTCTCTGGACTATATAGAGAAAAATCGAATGTTATATACGTTTTTTGATCAGATATCCTAAAATCCATGTTGCAATGATATTGAAGTGCTGACTATTGGTGCTTTCACCAAATACAAAGACATTTTTGATAAAGAATCATCAGTTATATGGATAAAATGACTGGTAAGCTCGGATAAATCCATCATTTTGCAGCAATAGAGCGTTAAAAACCAGGACAAGACATGCGCGGGATATTACAATTGCAATATCGATATAATATGAATGTATTGCCCTGTCTTACATAATGCATAACTAATTCAGCTGCCTCATACAGTTAGTTTGTTTGTCTTTGTTAGACTAAAGGGTTATTTAGAGTGAATTCACAGAGTCCAACAATAACACAAACGAACCAGAAACGTTTGTGTTCTGCAGCGGGGAAATGGCTCTTTTTGTCAGTGGAGTCTTGTGGCTTTAAAGAGAAAATAGACAAAGAGAGGCTGTCTGACGGCAAGGTGAAGAAGTACACATGGTGTAAACACAGCTAGAACAGTCTGGTAAGTCCAGAACATTACATTTTAGGTCGGATTTAATGACATCCAAACTCCAGGGCGATATTGAGCCTCATGTCAAGATATTGGTTTAATATCGATAAATTGCTCAGATCTTTTTCCCGTACGCTTTGATTCATAAAAACACAAACACAGGCTGATTGGATTAGCTGCATTTAATCCACTTGTCTGCAGTGATGTGCAGACCCAAACCAACTGGTCCTTGTTGTTAATGTAACCTGTTCAGTTTTAAGGAATAATATGGAGTCATTTTTAGAACATGCATGTTCGACCGGTCGTTATGCCCACCCCATAAAACGTGCCTGCGATGCATTACCAGTCATTATGTATTTGTGTACATTAATAAAGACAAAATGCCCTGTTTATTTAATGCTTTGATTCGTAATGAGACTATTGTTTGACCTCAGGATTGTGTGAATGTGTGTCTCGCTAGGATCACAAAGCAGGACAAGACTCCGGTAAAGGCGAACTGTACGCTTTGTTTGTTAAATGTTAACCTCCAAGAAATCAACGGTGAGAATATGTGAATATCAGTCGTTATATATGAGTTTACATCAATGTAAATAGATATGTAGATAAACAGCCTATTCTTTCAATGCTTTGATTCAAAATCCCTCCCTTGTTTTAAAGCTCAGGGTGAATCTGTCTGTATCTCACCGGGGAGAAGAAGTAAAGGCGAACTGTACGCTTTGTTTGTCAAATGTTAACCTCCAACTGCACAAAAACAGAAATCCACCGTGAGAATATCAGTCGTTATATATATACGTTAGCAACAATGTAATAAAACAGCCTATTCTTTCAATGCTTTGGTTCAAAATCCCTCTTGTTTTAAAGCTCAGGATGTTGTGAGTCTTTGTCTGCATCTCGCTAGAAACACCTGGCAGAACAAGACTCCGTTAAAGGCGAACTGTATATCAGTAATTATATATAAGGTTACTTCAATGTAGATAAAACAGCCTATTCTTTCAATGCTTTCATTCAAAATCCCTCTTGTTTTAAAGCTCAGGATTGTGTGAGTCTTTGCTGTATCTCACCGGGGAGAAGAAGACTCAGGTGAAGGCGAACTGTACGATCTTTAATCATTTGTCAAACGTTGTCCTCCCAATGCACAGTAACGGACCGTCCACACAGCAGCGTTAAAAAAATCTTGGAGGTGGGCGTATCTGAAGCTTGGGGATTTTTTGCGAGCAAGGCACCAACAACCAATCACATGAATCTCCCGCCCCCGACATACGAAGCAAAACAGTTTGAAGTAAACTGGATATAAACTCCCCAAACAGGCGAAAACCTACCACTGTCTCTGCCACCTCCCTCCATGCCTGGCTCCTCCGGTTTGTATCCCGGTAGGTAAATAGGGACTGGTCATAAAGCACCGGGTGATTCCCTACCGCTAATTTCTCCTCCATGTTTTGGAATATGAGGAAATGACCTGCGGTATGTCTCTCCCAGCTTACACGCGGTTTGATTGGCTGACGCTTCCACCTCAGCTTCAAAAGTTGAACATTGCTCAACTTTGAATCCTGAAAATCCTGAAAATCTCCGCTCTGCTTCCCACAATGCAGTTTGGCGAAAAGTGAGGCAAAGTGACGTCACCCCATTCAAAGTGAATGGGCAGAAGCGTTTCAAGATTTTTTAACGCTGCTGTGGAGACGCTCCGTAACTGATAACAGAGAGTGGCCGGCAAGTGGGTAAAGTTAAGGATTCATGAGAACTCAGACAACTCAAAAACTTGAGTTCGTTAATTTGTGCACATCACCACAGAGCCAGACGCTGCAGCTGGCTGACGATCCTCTTTCTGTCTGGGAAAATGTTTCCCTTTGGCTGCAACGTCTTCCAGTCTAGACTTCTCTCTTTTTAAATCCTCCTCTCCCTGATGCCAAATATAAAATCTGGGGCAAACAAACCCTGCAACCATCATCAGATCCAGCTCACCAGAGACAGCTGGAAGCGGCGATGTGTTCACTTATTACTGTATGACTCATGCTTTCTACAGCCTTTCCATCACACTTAATGAGTAGCTCTTGAGAGGAGGAGAAGAAGGAGAAGAAGAAGTGGTGGTGTTGTTGAGGATTTACCTGGCAGTGCATTAGAGGAGGGTTTAGAGTACAGTACTAAGTATTGATTATCATTATGAGCTCTGCACTCTGCGGGTAGTTTGGGTCAAAAGGAGCATGCAGAGATATTGGAAGATCAGGGTGAGAGCTCTAATACAGGGATGTTAAACATACGGATGACTTTGCAAAGTGTTAAAATGTCAATGTTCAATATACTGTGAGTCAGCAGCTTGAGTGCAAAAAGAGATAGTTCACGCACTGCCACAACTTATGTAGATAACCCGATTTGTGTTATGTGAGACTGAAGGAGATGTTGCATTGTTTTGTTGCTTTCGTTGCAGTTTTATATATATCTTAGAATGTAATTTAGGTTAACTTCCTGTTTCATTTGTATGCTTTTATTTTGAAGGCGAGATTACGTGTTTGACAGGAAGTTGTGGGGGGGCATTAGAAATAACTTGACGGAGAAAGTAATATCTTCTATGTAACGGCGGAGAAAGAGAAGAACGGACTGTATGTTTTAATGTTAGCACCCCCCGAAGAGGCTCAAGCTCTGACGTTGGGTCTGGAGTTATAAATAAATTCAAATTCATCAGTAAAGTAAAGTCTACGACCATAATTCGGAGGGAAATGCTACAACTTATATGTCTTTTTTACGTACAAAGTTATATATTTACAAGGCAGACGGATAACTTCTTCCTTAATGGCTTCCTCTTTAGTTTGTATGGTGGTGTGTCAAGATTACTACACAGATGATCATACAAATAAATCATAAAGTAAAATACCATATCGTTTAGTTCCAGATACACTGACTACATGTGTCTGTAGATACACTGTGATCTGTTGTAATGCACATGTGTACATTAGGGTGCTCCTTCAAATTGAAAGTGGGAAAGTCTAAGCTCCAACCCCCAGAATTCATATAGTCAAGAAGACTCTCCTGGTGAATGTTGGAGCTTAGACTTTCCCACTTTCAATTTGAAGGACCACCCTACGTGAGGCTAAACTTTGAGGTTGATGAGGGAGGGGTACATGTTGTTGGGATTTGAATAAAATTCACCAGGAGAGTTTTCTTGACTATCATAACGAATTCCGGTGGTTTGAGCTTAAACTAAAGGAATTCGAAAATGTACCTCTCACTAAGGACCACCCTAGTGTAAATGAGGCATAAAACTGTTGAAATTGCACTTGTTTGTATATATATTTGTATTTTTTATTCAAAGGGAACCATTTCAAGTCATGGTTATTTCTAGGTTATTATGCTTGGATTTGACTGGTCCGTCCCACTTGAGATCAAATTTGGCCCCTGAACTGAGAGGACTTTGACCCCCTGCTCTAACATGTTTATGACGCAGGTCCCTGAACTCACCGTGGTGTATTTTCCCAGCTGGCAGAGGGAGGGGAAGGTTTCCTGATGGGCCTTTCTGATCTTCTCGATGATGGTTTCCAGCTCGGCCGTCAGCTCGTAATTCTCCGTCGGCTCCGGCTTCGGACTCTCCTTCTTCTTCTTATTGCGGTCGTTTCGAACAGCTGGAGGAGAAGAAAGAATTAACAAAGGATAAGCGACAATAATGACTTGATCGTCACCAGAGAAGGCAAAAGTACACATCCTTTACTCAAGTAGAAGTACAGATACTCGTGTTTAAAAATACTCTGGTAAAAGTAGAAGTACTGACTAAATAAGTACATTTCAAAGCCCATACTTCTTTACTTAAGAAGTATGGGCTTTGAAATGTACTTCAGTAAAAAGTACCCATAACTAGCAGCTGTTTTAAAGAGTACCTGACCTCCCTTTATATTAATAGAACAATAATGTCATTGTTAGCTAATGAATGTTTCCATGCTGAACAACGGCAACATGACAACGTTTTCATTGGTCCCTCTTCTTTAGAGAAGACCAGGAAATGATGGATACACGGATCGTGTTCAAATCAATAGGCACGCAATGACTCTAAATAATAATGATCACGCCACCAAACACACATTCAAACTAAAGGAACCAGCCTGTTTGGGAAATGAGAGAAGTAGAAAGTACAGGTATTTGTGTTCAACATGTAAGAAGTAGAAAGTACAGGTATTTGTGTTCAAAATGTAAGAAGTAGAAAGTACAGGTATTTGTGTTCAACATGTAAGAAGTAGAAAGTTCAGGTATTTGTGTTCAACATGTAAGAAGTAGAAAGTACAGGTATTTGTGTTCAAAATGTAAGAAGTAGAAAGTACAGGTATTTGTGTTCAAAATGTGAGAAGAAGAAAGTACAGGTATTTGGGTTCAAAATGTAAGAAGTCAAAGTAAAAAGTCGTCAGAAAAATAAGTAGTGGAGTAAAGAACTGATACCAGAAAAATGTACTTAAGTACAGTAACGAAGTATTTGTACTCCACTACTTCCCACCTCTGATCGTCAGACAACTGGAGGAACTTTGCTGCGAGTAAGCACATTTCTCGGGGTACTTTTTAAGAGCTGCAGCGAGTTGTCAGACCTTATATAAGGACAGAAAGTTTGCAGCTGAGACTCTGACAGCTCAGTGCCACCGGCAGAGTCTCCAAACTGAGGAAAAACAAAGTCTGGGAACTCAAGTGCTTTAAAAATGAATTTTCGGATTTGAGGCGCAATTCATTATTTGACCGAATCAATTAATTACACTTTTCTCTGAGCTATTTGGGAAGTTTTATTATGTAGTTGAAGTTGAGTCTAAAATGAAACGTATGTGAGGTGTAGGTTTTGGTTTTAAATGTCAGAGAGACAACACAACAATACATTAGACCACAAAAATATACATTTTCAGTTTGACTTAAGAGTCAACTGAACCAATCCAGAAGCTGAACACATGTAACAACATCTTCTAAGAGTTTTAATAGGTAATAGCTAATTGGGATCAATGAGCCAATAACATGTAATAATCTAATATAAGACAATATAAATATCTAAATTCTATTATATGATATCCATGCTTTATTTAAGGTTCCTCAAACGTCCTTGCGTTGGACAAACAATTTGTGGACCTTGATATGAATTCACTTTTTTGATCTTAAACCCTTCTCTCCTTCTTACCTAAAAAAACTATCGTTGGTGAAAACAAGAAATCAATGGGTATCATTTTGCATGGCAGCTGTCAATCATTATTTTTCTTAATCTTCAAGCGTTCAAAGGGAGGATGAGTACGTGTCAGGTTGATGGTTTCCTGCTTTTCTAATGATTGACAGGTGGAAATGTAGGAATAAGTGGCAGCTGGCAATCAAACACAACGTCTGAAATCAATGCATGTTTATGAACAAATTAGCTGTTGTTTATCAACCTAAATCAAATAATCAATTATTCATATCTGAGTTATCTCTATGATACGATACAGTCATTCAGCTTGTCAACACCATAGAGAGATATTTCTGTGTTCATGGATAAATGAGGACTATTTTTATCCTGAAGTAATCTATACTCTCTAATCTCTCAGACTCAAGCACTGATGTGTGATGAGAGATAAATCCACCGCTCTCCATACAGGATGTGGATCACAGCTGTTCTCTCTACAATGTTTTACCACTGACAGTAACATATAATACACGTTTTTCACTTTTACAACAAACTATATCGGTCTTCGTGATAAACTGGGCTACACACATCCAAGACCTATCGCTAAAGTTGGACGCTAAGACATTAAACGTCTCAATAGGCAAGGCAAGGCAAGGCAAGGCAAGGCAAGGCAAGGCAAGGCAAGGCAAGGCAAGGCAAGGCAAGGCAAGGCAAGGCAAGGCAAGGCAAGGCAAGGCAAGGCAAGGCAAGGCAAGGCAAGGCAATACAGCATAAATACATTATTAAATGGAATTTAAAAACAGGCATAAAAAGCAAAGATAATGAAAATAAATAAATAAACACAGCAGGTACAGAATACATGACTAAAAGGCATACTGTAGTGTGAGTATGAGCAGCTCCATTGAAAGCAGCAGCAAATAGATGCGTTTTTAGTCTGGATTTGAAAAAAGGACACATTGGTGTTACTTTTGACTGCTTTTGATAGCTCTTTGCAACAGTTTCTAATGTGCAGAGGAGTCCGATAGACATAGGGTCGTTCTTGCCGTTACAAATGTGGTGCAAGTCAAATCACAGTACTCCTTGATTAGGTTTATGTTGAGAACAGATCATGGTTTCGGTTAAAAGCAGTGGAGGAAGAAGTACTCAGAGTTAAGAAAAAGTTTGGACGCGATGAGCGGTGCTAGTGGAGCACGCGCGTGAGCTGCGAGCACCAGAGCCTCGCAGCGGCGAAACTGAGGCTCTGTGGTAAACTGTGGTAACATGAAGAGCCGTTTGGGAGCCGGCGCTTTAAGAGAGCCGAGCCAAATGATCCGGCTCACTAACGTAAAAAGACAGTATCTATAAGGGACGGCTCAAGTCAAAATTCAAGTACCCCCCCCGCTCTCGGGGTGGACGCCCTCTCAGCCCTGGTCTGGCGGAAACACTGCCTGGTATACTGTTATGAATATTCATGTTTTTTATCACAACTGGTAAATGTAGAGCTAATTTGAATAACTTTATATACTGCTGCTGGATATCTTAACATATAAATATGTGTCAAAGTGTATTTAATAATTGACTTATATTACGAATTAGCTTATATCCTAAACTCAAAAAAGTTACTCTTAACAAAAGCTGTCAAATAAATGTAGTGGAGTAAAAGGTACAATATTGGCGCCTAAAATGTAATAGAGTAGAAGTATATTAGCATAGACTTAGTTTATTAAGTTTGTTATGTAACTTACACCTTTGTTATATTGGGATTTAGACAAGTTAAACGTTATATTGTTACGTTTTCTTGTTTACACTGTCTATAGCTCCTGATGCTAATGCTAACATCTAGCTGCTATTCTACCTAGCCACAGCATCAAGTCTAGACCAAGCCCCCAGGAAGTGCGCCGGGCTCTGATGAAAATATTCGTTGTGTCCAAACGGCGGTACTACACTTCCGTATCAGTCCCTGGGCCCAGAAACACTTTTTCCCATTGACTAACATTGGGAAAGAGACGTCTGTAAATCGTTGGATAATTTTTTTTTAACCAAATAAACTACCCAGTATGAACATTTGTGTAGCCCTTATTAAAAACATTCGGTCCTGAAGTTGTAAAATGTGCTAATAACGTTATTCTGAGAGTTATTTTCCTCGGCGTTATGAACGCGCATCTGAGAGTGGGAGCTCGGGGGGCGGGGCTTAAGGGGCAACTCAACTGCGCATGCTCTATGAGCGCACATACGGGTACTTCTGCTCTGACAGCCAGGCATGATGGGTAATCTGTGATGTTTCGCTCTCTCAAAAGTTGGGCCATTTTGTCCTCATGCGCCACAGTGACGCATCCTAAAACCCGGAAGTAAGTTAGCATTTTACCACTTCCGGTTCCTTCGACAAAAAAGCAATGCAATTTCTCCATAGGGTTTAGGAAAATATCTGGAAATAAGGTCTGTGGTTGAGACACATTGAAGAGACGGATCACGTTTTGTTCTAGGACATTAAATCCATCAGCAGTGACCCCACTGGTGATTTCTGAAGAGTTGACGTGTCTGAAAAACGATGGTTGTTACCAAGTGGCTGAATAGGACTACAGAAGTTGTGGAGGACGTTGTACGTCATTACGCCGAACACGTAAACACTCCTCTAAGTTTGTTTGCCCTGTTCTGCTTGAAAGCAAGTACCTGCCTCCTGCAAACTGTTCAAACAAACGCTTCAACTCGTACCATTTAGAGTCTGTATGTTTGAATATGGATCTTAAGTTGGCGTGACGTTGAAGCAGCGACCCTGCTGTAGTTCCTTTATAGCATAACGTTAGCATTTTGCTTCTGGCGACTAGATTTATGATTCGAAAATGATAAAAGTAGGGTAGACATGTGGAGATTATCCGGCTGAACAAAACGTGATCCGTCTCTTAAATGTGTGTCAACCACAGACCTTATTTCCAGCTATTTTCCAAAATCCTATGGAGAAATTGCATTGCGTTTTTGTCGAAGGAACCGGAAAGAGTTTGCTTCCGGGTTTTAGGACTCGTCACTGTGGCACTCTATGAGCAGCTCTCATAGGAAAGACCGAGACCCCGCCTCTGACGCTGTATCCAGTTCTTATTATACATCCATGGTCTACTCTAGACTCACAGTGTTGGCGGTCAGAGGGGTTATGTTATGGTCTATAGATTAAAGTGCTTATCCCCATAATCAGGCATTAAACCCAGATGAGAGTCAACCTCAAATGTCACATATGCTTTGCCAACAACGCTTTGTATCCTTCAACAGATGCACACAACTCAATAAATATATAATATAATATCATTTATATAATTGGACGCCTTTAGAAATATGTCATTAAATAAAATGTACAGCCACATCAGTCAAATCCACTGAGTCCCTATGCTGTGTGTGTTTACGTTGACATGTGGGGACATCTGACAACCAAATCTCTGCATCTTCATTATCGGAGCAACTCACAGCTTTAAAAAGACAATATGAGTCAATATGATGTTCAGTTTCAGAGATTTAGACTGAGTGTTCTGGTCAGCC